GGGCATGCGAAGTAAGCTACCTGCCGTTTGCTTGCGGTCTTTGCCTTCTTCCCTTGCCCCTTCTTCCCAGACTTTGCTTTTCCGCCCTTGGTTTGGGGAAGCGCCTCCTGGCAAATCTTGACCCCGACTGCACACCGAGTCCAGTAAATGGAGAACTGGACACGGTCATCCTGGACCATGTTTTCCCAAGATGGATGAGTGCAGTGGGAGTCATGACATTCTTGCGCCACCGCCAAAACCTGAGCTTTGACATCTTCATCAATCGGTGTGGACTCTCTTGATTTCTTTGTCTTGGCTTTCTTCTCCTTTTCCTGTGTTTGCAGCTTCTTTGTCTTGCTGCACTCATTCTCGCATGTCTTTGTATTGGTTTGCCTCTTCTTCTTCTTCTCGGAAGAATTCTGTCCTCCCCTTCTCTTCGCAGACTTTGGAGTCTTACGTCCCTTCCCACCCTGCCCCGCCTTTGTGGCTTCTCCGGTCTCCCCCATCTCCATCCCACCCTGCCCCACCTCTGTGGCTTCTCCGGTCTCCCCCATCTCCTTCCCAGCCTGCCCCATCTTACATGGTCCCATCTCAGCCTGCCCTGATTGAGGTTGTGCATCGGCCTCATCCTGGTCGTCACTCTGAACGGGGAGCTCCTTCTGGTTCCAGCTTTTGCTGTACCTTCTCAACTTGGTCAATCGCGAGCATTGAGACTTCACAACTTTGGTACACTTTTCTGGCGTCTGTGCAGCCTGCTTCGTGGCCAGCGAGGTTCCCTCGGTCTCTGGGCTGGCTTCAATGGTGCCCTTCTTCTTGCTTGTCTTGTTCTGGCTTTTCGTGTTCTTCCTGGATTTCCTGCTTTTGCGCTTGTCAGCTGCACTCTGGCCTTTGTTCTTCTTTGACTGCTCTTTGTCAGCTTTCTTCTTCTTCTTGGCCTGCTCTTGGTCAGTTTTCTTCTGCTCCCTCTCGGCCTTTCTTTGGGCCTTTCTCTCTTGCACCTCCGCCTTCTTTTTTGCAGCCTCGACTTTGTTGGCCGCTGCCTTGGCTTTCTTGTTCGACTTCCAATCAGCCCTTCCCCGGAACTGCTTCCGCCTGGTAATCACATCGTACTCAGGAAGCTCAAGTTGTCCAACTTCAGAAACTGTTGCCTGAACAGGGCTAATGGGTTAGGCGATTTGGAACGCCTAGTCCTGCCATAATTCATAGAATTGCATTTCCAATGGCAGGGATAACTATACAAACAATATAATTCAACACTCTTTCAATCATACGTAGCCTTGGTTTCAGCCACATGGGCTTCTACTGCTGCATCATGTTTGTCCACACCGTCAAGAGTTGACATAGCCACATCCGTGTGGATCATCTGGGAGGGACTGCAAGGGAGCTGGGTTTCGGTGGCATCCCCAGCAAAGGGCATCATGGAATCCGATAGCACAATGACCTCTTGCCCGTTGAGCCCAGAAGAATTACCTGATCAACGTTTCTGTGGACCCGGTGCTAAAGCAAAAGGATTACAGAACAAGGTGGTTGTGTTGTTTCCTTCACAGGATGCAAGGCCACCAAAACAACAAAATGGTATCACGCGCAAACCAAAAGACCAGTGGGCACAGCAGCAGGTGCGGGCATAGCATTCAACTGCTGAGCTTGAATCCTTAGAGGATGCGAGGTCATCGAGCGATTGCTTCGGGATCTTTGAAGGTTGCATGATGTAAAACTTGTATTGCACCCTTCTATCATCGCAATACCTCGTTGGGTCCAACTAAAACCCCCAAAGGCTAAATCGGGTTGAATGTAAATAAAACTGAATAACAATGCAGCCAGTGGACTCTTTGAATGCCTCAAGCGCCCTGACGATTGCATGCACATTCTCCTGTGAAAGTGGTGGCGCCGGAGCGGAGCAAGCCTCGTCATCAGAGTCCAGGACCACCCCAAAGTCCTTTGCAATGATGGGGCCGGCTCATGCAAACGCCTGGTCGATTCTATATATATATATATTGTTTTAATATATGTATATGTATCCTAATCCTTGAAATAGACCCTTAGCCCCAAGCATTATAGCAGTTCTCCGATCAAACAATATAACACATGTTCATTCTCCAGGGTCCTCGCAAGCATTAGAAGACCTCAACGCTGGAGGTGGCATAGATGGTGGGTCCGAAGCTGTTGCCATGGAAACGTTTGGTGTTTCAACCGCATCCTCAATTGGAATCTCAGCTGATGCAACATCGTGCCCGGAAACGCCATCCGGTGCAGGGATGGCCTTTTGACTGGCGTCATTGTCATTGGAGCTGCGCATGGCCCCAGACTCTGAAGGGGGAGTGGCGGCAGCGGGCATTGCCAAAGGCTTGGGCTCCCCCAACGAATCAAATGCAGCATTCAACTCGAAATTGATGCTTGCTGGGTCGAAGGGATCTTCAGGAAATTCCATCACCTGACTTAGAATTGGGGGCTCGGCAGCCACAGCCAAATGAGCACCGTCGTCAGCACCCTGACTGTCCTCCGCCACGCATGCAGAGAGAGGTGCCCACTCCTGACACAGGCTTCAATGCGAAAGGATCTTGGCCCATTCAAGTCTCCATCCCAGTCATTTGTTTTTTGATTCTTGACACCATGTCGAACAAACAACAAGCGACAAAAGAATAATTCCCAAATACGGCTGGCCAATTAGAGAAACAGGTGCAATCGCCTATGTGCGTGAAAACAGTCCACACTGGGCCATAGGCACCTGGTCAATCTTGTCAGTTTGTTTCACGCAATATATATCAAACTTAAGGTAGGTGATATTTTTGGCTAGCACCAACCCACGCCAAAACCATGCATGTTCTTACCCGACCTCGCCGGAAAAGCCCATCGCTTCGACCAAGGACAAGAGTTTTGGATCCTGCGCGCGATCAGCAGTTTTGAAAGGAGACTCCGGGTGACCGGGTGGTTGGGCCAGTCCAGAGAACTATACGAATACACCTCGATATCATCTTGTTAAGGGTTTTTGTAAGTATGTGACATCTTTATATATATGTGGACATCGACTGCAGGAACAACACACTATGTCAGTCGGACGATTCTAGCAGGCATGACTCATGACCTTGATGGGTCAATGGACCAAAGTCACATATATACCTTTTTGGTCATGAACTCCATCAACAACATTGGATCGATTCACTCACTGTCCTGTGGCGGATACTCTCTGTGAAGGCACTTCTTCAACTTCACCAGCATTCTCCTAATGGCCCAGGCCTCCTGGTAACACAGCTCTAAGGACCTAGGTAGCTGTGCGAGCTGGTACAATTGATCAACGCTTTGGATCAAATTGTCGATGCAAGGCAACATCAGGTCCTGTTGCCTCATAACTTCAGCAATGGGATGCAGGACCATTTGGTTCAGCTTGATGGCTTCCAGGGTGGGTTCCACGTGGCCATTTGATGGATTGCCCTGCGGATCCAAAGTCAAACACAAGTGCATTCCTTCCCTCATTCTTTCACGCACTCCTGGGTCATTGTCCCAGGAGATTGCCAATCCATCCAAGTCATACCGCCCAACCAAGATTTTTCCATGGGTAGATGGGGACGAATCTGGGCTGTCATGATCAACCTCATGACCAGAGCTTGAGGCCCCAGACCTCCGAGGATGAAGCCTGGCTTTAGCCTTTGGGGTAGACTTGGCAGCAGTAGCCCTCGCCATGGTTTGTCGATTTGACAACCCAGGAAGCCTGGTAATGATCGCCACTCCTTGTCACAGCCGAAATGCCGCAGGAGGGAGATGAACGTGCAGCAATGAACCAATGAGAGACCTGGGACTTCCTCAGTGTTGAGCCTTGGTCCCTGTTGAACTCTATATATACCAATGTGGCCAATGTCTGAGATATATCACAGCCCCCCTCAGACTGTTCACCCTGTGTCCCATTTCAACACATGTCAGAGGCACCAAGCTGCGACCACAGTCAGAGTCAAAGTGCTCAGCACCATGACATTGCAGCAGGGGCCAAAGCAGGAATGACCCTGCAAGATGCTTCCATGAAATAACATGTCATGACATATCAACATTTTGATCGAAGAAGGGCTGGAAAATTGTTCACTGTCATGTACAGGTTCCCCATGGAAGGTCAAGGACTGTTTGATGCCAGGGAAGCACATATTGCGCCAGAACAATTTGGTGTAGTCAAACATCGGAGCTTCTGGATATCAGGTTCCATCATTGGAGCCATCATGGATAAAATAGCCGCCTGGGAAGGGTTCATGGACATACCCACCTTGGTGGACTCCAGGCTCATGCTCATGTCAGGCTTCATGCAACTAGGCCTTTTAAGAGGGTGTTCAATCTGCTTGAAAACACAACACGGATAATCACGTCCAGGACGACTATTGTGTCCCATGTGGTCAAGGGTTGACCTTTCCAGCCGGGGACTAGAATCAGTGTCCTCTGGGAGTACCAGGTACGCACCATGAGGCCCTTCAAGAAGCAGCGGCGCCAGCCCAGTTTCTTGAATTCGAACCAAGCCGCCGCATGGATGACCTGAGCACACGTGTAGGCGGCAAGGGTGATTCCGCGAGCGCCCATGGCGTTCAGGGTCTCGCCCTGATAGACTCACCACAAGTGTAGAGTTCCTCCCTACCAAGCTAGTCTTTCTAGGGTCCCGCCCCAAAAAGAGAGAACAAACGCTATTTTGGCCAAGGCACTTGAGCCAAAACATTCGTTGGTTCAAACCTATGGCAGTAATGAATGCATGTTCACCCAAGCCTGCCAGACCTGAAACATGTTTATATACACTGTCTGCTTCTGATATAGTCATGGGGATTTGTAAAAAAACAGATGGGGAATCCTTGCAACTCAAAGCAGCTTGGACTAAATCTGGATAACACTTTCTGGCCAATGATTGAATAAAGTTACACTAATTATATAATAGATGGTAATAATTGGTATATAATAGGTATTGAAGTTGCCAACCTTTGGTGCCGAAATGGATGCCAAAATTCTGCAATAACCGCTCAGCTGGGGCTATGGGGAGTGGAGTTCCTCCAAGTGACTGCCACAAGCACTGATGACGGCATTGAAACTGACCAAATTTGGTCGAAGGCTTTCCTGGTCCATGACATGAAATGCTTGGAGGGCCTCCCTCCACTGGCTCCCCTTCTCACAGGAAGAAATCGCCGAGTTGAAGCAAACTAGATCAATCTGCAGCCGTGCTGTACGTATGGCCTCGAATAAAGACAGTGCTTGCTGCCATTGACTGCCTTCCTCGCAAGCAGTCATCGCAGAGCTGAAGCTGAAAATGTTGGCCTTCACCTTGACTACGGGCATCGCAGCAAATAAGACTAGGGCTTCTTCCCATCGTCTGCCCTTGGCACACGAGCTGATGGTAGCACTGAAACTGATCACGTCTGGGATGATGGCACTGGCTCTGGTCATCCAATCAAAAAGCATCAAGGAATGTTGCCACTGTTGACCCTTTTCACAGCTACTGATCGCTGCATTGAAGCTTACGTCATTGGGCCTCACGCTGGCCTGCGGCATCGCTCCGAAAAACGATAAGGCCAGTTGCCATTGGTTCCCCTTCTCGAAGGAGCTAATGATCGCTCCACAGATTATAATGTCTGGCTGAATCTCTGCTGAGATCATGGAATCAAACAAGTTGAGTGTCACTTGCCAACGCCCTTGCTTCACGCAAGAGCTGATGGCGGAGCTGAAGCTGATCACGTCCGGCATGACCATTGCTTCCTGCATGGCAAAGAGCAAACTCAAAGACTGTTGCCACTGGCTTCCCTTCTCACAGCAACTCATAGCAGTATTGAAGGTGATGCTGTTGCAACGCACACTCTCTGTAACCATGGTGTTCAACCACCTGAGTGCCAGCACCCATTCCGATCCACGACGGGAAGATGCGATGGCGGCATTGTAGGTGACCACATTTCTTTCGACACTCACAGATGGCATGTCGCCAAAGATCCTTAAAGCCAGCTGCCATTGATCGCCTTTTCGAGCTGCGCTGATGGCTGCACCCCAGTTCACCACGTTGCGCCGAAGCCCGAGCTGAGCTGGCATCGCCGCCAAAAGCCAGCAAGCATGCGTCCAGAGTCTGGCTGAAGCGCAGCATGATATGGCCAGCGTACAATGCTGGGAGTCCAATCGAACACCAAGGCATTGAAAGGCCGTACCCAAGGCGTTGAAAGCAGATTGCTCCTCTTTTTGTTCGGCCAGAGATGTCCTGGGTTCGGGCAACTTGGAGGGTCACAGCACAGGCTGGTGTGTTATCTGATGCCTAGCCGTCCAACCTCTGTACTTGTAAGGTTGCGGATGATCCCCTGGAGGAAGTTCTTGCAGGTCCTAAAAGGATCTGGATTAGGCCCTTCCCACATCCCAAACCAACCGGTTCACCGGGGGAGGATAGTGGTTGTCTGAAAATTCTCTGAGGAAAACAAGCAGGATAGTACATCAGGATGTTTGGGTGATCTTAGCAGCGTGCTGGATCAAAAGCGGCCCCCCAGCTGGGAAGACGTACCGCAGGTTCTGCGAAGCTCGCACCGCAGGTCTTGTCGCGCGCCCGCGCCAGCGGACGGTATCGACACCCGATCTTGTTATCTCCTTGGAAAAAACCGTCAGAAAAGGGCGTCCAAAAACAAACAAACAACATATACCAGGAGTCACAAAGGGGTGGTTTTTAGTCCCTAAGTGAGTGGATAATGGGCATCCCTAACCTCCATTAAGCACCCCTTTGTGACTGCTGGTATGCATGTATAGAATACTTTTTTGGGGGTCGCAGAAGATGTCAGCTGTGGAGAGGTTGAACCGTCGAATATACATAAAACATATGGTATATGAATTACAACGGCTGACGCCTCCGCTGGGATATGATTCCATCATATATATATAATGTATCCATGGAGTGTCTGGGGGTATGTCTGGGTTGTCTGCAACGTTGTTCGCCACAAGGAGGCCGGTGTGGTGAATCAAAGCCGGAGAGGCCGAAGAGGGGACTTGGTCCACCGGAGTTCCAAGAGGTCGAAGAGTCAAAGAGTGCGTGGCGCCCGCCCAAGAGGTGTTGCGTCCCTTCATGCCCGTTTGGTTAAGCCGTCCCTTCATCTACACTGTTCTTAGCACTGAACTGAAGAGGTGGTACATGGCTGAAAAACATGTTCAATCGATTATTCCGATGTTTATTTCAAGAGTCTACATTACATTGACCCACATAACTAATCCTGCAGACCTCGCCAACACAACTCGCGTCTTTCGCGAGTCGGGGCTCAACAAGTCTCGAAGCTCTGAAGCAGGCGCTGCGACTCGCATGGCGCCGGCGGGTGCTCAGCATGAGCAGCATGCAGCCAATGGAGCCCGTTGAGGATGAATCAAGAGTCTTAAGAGTGATTGGAGATGAATGGAGTGTCACCCCCAGTCCCAAAAAACGATCACCCTGGTGCACCATGCGCCATGTACAGTAGTTAGAGATCACCCACATGTTTCGGTGCAGCCCATCGATCGTGGATCATGAAGGAAACACGCCGTCCCGTGCACGCCGTGCACCCTTGGACCCGACCAGGTGGGCAATGTGCGCGTCATGTGGCACACGCAGTGTCTGTTTTTGCTCCACGCAGTGGGTGTTTTCTGATGTCCATGTTCTTCGAAAAAAAGCTTCGTTTGTCTCCGGTGCATCGGACCGGCAGGGTCATCGAGTCAGTCGTCTTCCTCTTGGCTGGGCTGGGAGACGAGACCGGACCGGTTTTCGGCGACCCGAGCGAACGAGGTGAGGGGATTCACCGGACCGGCCCAAACACCAAGCAAAACCAGGTCATGAGGACTCACAGTCTGAGTGTCCTGGAAGTGAGGCCCGGAGGCCGGAATCGGACCTTTTGCTGAGCATCGACAGGTTTTCTGTGAACAAGACCAGAATGAGACCACGAACTGTGACCGATTTGGCTCTGACCTCTTGACTGAGACTTCAAGACTTCAGCCAAGGACATCTGCGAAGCTGGACTGCTATGGCCAGCGGGCAGCAGAGCAAAGCACTATGTCGAATTGTACGCAAATGAGGCGTCCACACCAAGTTGCAGATTGTTTGCTGAACTGTGACCCTGTGATATAGGGCCATGACACAAAATACGGGTGAGTTGTTGCAGCCCTTGGATCCAGGTCACTCGGACCTGTAGTTGTTGAAGTGTTTTTGACTCCTAGTGGCTAGGAGTCAAAAACACTTCAACAACTACAGGTTCGCTGTAGGATGCTCAAACTCTTTGGCAAAGGAGGATGCGATGTCGCTTGCAAAGCCGCACACCGAATGGCTGGCACCCTGTGGCGTTATTTGGATTCCCATGCCCTCAGCAGCAGGGGCACCATTTTGGGATGTCAACGAGATATGTCCTTGCCCATCTCGCCCCAAGTCGTCGCTCTCTCTTTCATGCCGCTTCATGCCGCTCCATGCGGCGTGTGACTTGTCAGCATGCAGCAGCATGAAGCTCTGAAAGATAGCGACGTATATCACTCATGGCTCTCGCAGACTCTCGCATGTCCGATGAGTTGATAGCGACAAGTCCCAGGACTCCCAGGACTGATGTCCGACTGATGTTCGAGAACAGTCCGCCGGCGTCGTGTTCTTCGCATCGAGCTGCTCATGGATCCCTGGTGGTTTCAACGTCTTCCGGGAACCACCAATCGCCACAGCCTCGGAACCATCATTTGTCCATCTGGCCACCCCCAGAAACCTCATCAAGCCTCTTTTGGGGGATAAACTGCAAGAAATGCACTTCTCCATTGCAGTTGGAGTCGATGGGTTCCCAGAAGTGGTTGCCGTGGATGGCATGGCCGGCCATGGACGACCAGTGAACCGGAACACCGTCCGCAGGTAGTGCCCTCCGAACCCTGATTCGTTCAGGGAGTCGTTTTCCCATTTCCCTTTGGAAGAGATCAACGAAGTGCCATGTGCCACCACAGCAGGGAGCTCCAATCGTCCAAACTAAGCCCAAAGGCCGCGGGAGCTCCGTGCGCTCGCTCCACGCCACCACAGAGAAAACGCGCTCGCTCCCGCGAGCCGTCAAGACGACGACGCCTCAGGTGAGCAGCTCCAAAATCGAGAAGCCCATCTCCTCCCACCGAATGAAGGTGAGAAATCCGGAATTCCCAAACACGACGACTCATGGGACTGCCAAGTCGGACTGAGAAACGGCCAGGGGTGGTTGAAAAGGGGTCAATGTATGTAAAGATGGCAGTCCCAATAGTCATGACCGCCATAGGACTGCCGACATACGGTGGGGTGGATGGCAGTCCCATGGAGTGTCCGGAATTGAAGGTGAGAAAAGACATCTCTCCCATCCTCTCCCATTTCGGGGGGCCCATCCTCTCCACACTACAGGAGTCGGACGTGCACACGACGGTCAACATTCTCCACAAAATCGGTTGATTGAGAGGACCAATGGCACAGACCCTTAAGAGGTGGTTTAGATATAATATAGACCCCCATCTAAAGGACATCATGGGGTAAACGTCCCATCTACTCTGAAACCACTGTAGGAGTTGTGATCCTGTGACACTTCAGGATGTAGAGGTAAACGTTTGTGGCACTTCATGGTGAAGAGAAAAGAAATAGAAACTGTCGCAAAAAAAAGGGAAACACTGCGCGCACGCAGGAATTGCGATCCTAGAGAAAAAAATGAATGATTTATCTGTTTTTATCTTTTAAACATTGGGAAGCACTGCAAGCACGCAGGAATTGTGATCCTGTGGCACTTTGGGGCGTACGTAAAGTAAAAGATCTATATAACATAATCTCTTGAGCATTGGGAAACACTTTATGCACGCAGGAATTGCGATCCTGTGACACTTCAGGGTGGTGGAGAGTAAAAGTTCTAAGAATCATCTTTTTAAAAATTGGAAAACACTGCACACACGCAGCACTTGTGATCCTAAGACACTTCAGGGGTAGAGTAAAAGTCAAAAAATCATGCTTAAACATTGGGAAACACCTTACGCATGCAGGAATGGTGATCTTGTGACACTTCAGGGTGTATCATCTTTTTAAGCAGTGGGAAACACCTTATGGACGCAGGAATTGTGATCCTGTGACACTTCAGGATGTAGAGGAAAAGATCAATTATAATCTTTTAAACACTGGGAAACACTACACGCACGCAAGAAAGGGTGATCCTGTGGCACTTCAGGGTGTAGAGTACAAGTTCAAAATCATCTTTCAAACATTGGGAAACACTGCACGCACGCAGGAGTTTTGCTCCTGTGACACTTGAGGGTGTTAAGTAAAAGCACTAAGATCATCTGAATTGGAAACACTACACACACGCAGGAATTGTGATCCTGTGACACTTCAGGGTGTAGAGTACAAATTCAATCATTATCCAATAACCTCAGAAACTTGAGGAAACGCTGCGGGCACGCAGCCCGCCAAACTTTTTGGTAGCCTGCAACGCCTTAGGGCTACTACCTAGTACCTTCATGAGGCTTGCCTTCAAGCGACCTCGGGGTCGAAAAAGTATACATCCGACATCCTTTCGTTCAGTGACCACAATAATTAGTCAGGATAAAATCAGGACAAATTACAATATATAATCATCAATATGTAGTTGTTTTAACGTCCACGTTGACTTTTTGCCCGGAAACAAAATATCCATTTGACACGAAAAATCCCAGCGGTCCTCCATTAAGCTGATGACTTTCTGCTGTCGGTCTCTCCGGGTCTCTAAAGCCAGGGCCATGCCAGAGCTGATAATATCCACCTGCCGATCCAGCTGGTCATGACACGTCCCTGAGATCGTCATGTTTCCTTCTGGGGAAGCCGCAGGGCAAGCGGGGGGGGCACCGGCACCTATTAGAAAAAAACACACACATCACACATTAGATATTGCGTACTGCTGAATGCCTCATGCTACATGGCTGCCTAGGTGAAAAAAGCTCCTAAGTAAAACGGGGAAAAGGTAGGTTGGAGGCCATCGCATCTAGGTGGGAGGTCATTGCAACAGCTTGGAGGCCACGAACCGGCGTCCGTTTCATGCTTTCACCACTCGAAACCGTACCTTTGTTGGGCGTCTGTGGGAAGACTTTTCAGTTATTCGACGGTCCCCTGCGACTCCGGTGAGAACACATCACTGCCTCCTTCCATACGAGTCGGAGCAAGTCAGATGCATTTGGTGTATGTAACAACCCGCTGAAATACGAGTCAGGACTTCGGCACCGATGTGACCAGCTACGTAGCTACTCGAACCCAGTAGAACCTCCAGGAGCCGCCTGGAGCCGGTCCTCCGCCATCTGCTCGAAGAGCTCGAAGGCCAAGGGCCACGCGGTCGTCGTCTTCTTGGCCGCGCTGATGGCGGCGCTGAAGCTGTAGGTCGTGGGGAACAGGTTGGAGCGAGTCACAGCGTCCTTGGAGGACGAAGGACGAAGGTGAAGAAGCATATTTGTCGAGTGAAGTGAAGTTCAAGCATGAAATGAACAGAAGTGGTGTGGTGACTTCTGTGACCTTTCGTGTGATGTCTTTGTTGTTGCACAAGGACCCTGAGACCAACTTAGAATAGACACTATTGTCTATTGTGCCTGCAAGATTTAAAATAACAAAAATAAATTTGAACTTCCAATTGTTTATTCACGCATATCATCAGCCCTTGCAAAAAATATCCCGAGTATTCCGGTGAACTGCTAGACCCTCAGAAAGAATTCAAGTCTTGTTGCACCGAGCTGGGCAGAGTGACAGGCTGAGATCGTTTTTCCCACAAATATGGGCGGAAATCGGGTCAGACTGGGCCTATTTGAAAGGGTCTGCGGTGGAGATCGGGTCAGGCTCACTGCCCGAGAGCTGACGCCACCCATGCGCATCTGCGGGTCGCCCTCTTCGCCCCCCGTCGACCTCCACGTCTTTCCAAGGGTCGAAGGTGCTCAAGGCCCAACGCCACTGGTTCGAGAGCTCGCAGGACCACATGGCAGCAGTGAAGCTAATGATGTCCACGCGAAGGGCGGACATCTGTGAGCCCTGCAAGAGATGGAGGGCACCCAGCCATTGGTATCCTGAGGCGCTGTGACCAAATAAACAAAAATGCGGAGAGGGCGATCTGAGAAGAGTAACCAGGAGGGCCAAATATCTTTGCCTAACAAAAGTGTCTAAGACTCATCGCGTGAGCAAAGAATTCGCAGCAATTGTCCGGCACGGACAAGAACCCGCCCCTTTAGAATCCGTTGGGGCTGGTTTTGTGCACGTATTAGGATACGTGTCCCAAAAGACTTCATATAAGACCTCCAAGAGATTCCTTCTCCCTCCGCGATGGCTCCGTCTTAGCCCAAGAAGTAATGGAATC